TACGTTACGTACGTACGTACGTAACGTACGTACGTACTATACGTAGTAGTAGTACGTACGTCGTCGTCGTGTGTGTGTGTGTGTGTGTGTGTAGTGTAGTGAGAGAGAGAGAGAGAGAGAGAGAGAGAGAGAGAGAGAGGTGGGCCTTTTTCACGTGTCCTTTGCCATAGATAATAACAATTCACTGATTAATTACATGTTTTTTTCCCCAATGGGGTATACCATCTGGGGTGTCGTTTAATGTGGAGGCACTCCACAAATAATGGTTGATTTTCGTTCTTAATAACCATTTCGGTATAGAACTGTTCGAACCTCACTTAGTTGCTTTGACATTGTCCAAGTAGGTTCATTTGCACCAAATTTCTCATAAATTTCAGGAGTAGTTCATGATATCCTTGTTTTCTGGAAATGCTAGACATATATTTGTTTCAGTATGGAAAAGGATGCGCTCTCTGTATTTGACCTGAAAACTCAATCAAATTCCTATGTATTGAGACTCATCTGTCTCACCATATCTTCTCCAGCATAATTTCTTAATAGTATATGGGAAAAGATGAGATTAACCCACTAGTTCATATGAACATATGAGCCCAACGGCCCAGATTGAATTTGGGCCGATCTGACGATCACGGATGTCCGGTAGTGCTTGAATTTTATTTATTTTTCTACATATCCAAATCACTTGGAATTTTAGGTGTGTGTTCTTCTTATCAAGGTGCACTTAATAAAAATATAAAAAAAAATTATCTGTAAAAATAAAAATGACCAAAATACCCCCCCAATCTTTTCGGGGGTATTTTGGTCAATTTATTTCATGTAAAATATTGTTTTGATATTTTCGAAGATTCACCTATTTTTGATGAACACACGTCTAAAATTTCAAGTGATTTAGATTTGTTGACAAAAAACTAAAATTCAAACACTACTGGACATCCGTGATCGTCAGATCGGTCCAGATTCAATCTGGGACGTTTGCTCATATGTTCATATGAGCTAGTGGGCTAATCCCATCTTTTCCCATAGTATATTTATCTGAAAAGAGAACAATTTCATGATACCTATTTGTGTCTCCTTTTGTGTTCTCATGGATACTTTCTTCTTTAGCTTGCAGAAAGATGAGTTCTGAAATGTATGTGATGCCCATCTGTTTTGTTTGTAGAATCTCTTTTTAATGCTTTTGCAACTGCGGCCTTTTTCAAGTTTGTGGTGTTCTCCATCTTTGAGATGAGATATCTCCTTGCAATTTGGAAAGCGGGTAGACCAAATACAGGTGAAGGATGGGAAACAATGAGACGTGAACTATCAATACTCTACAGCCGTTTCTGTAAGTCTATTTTCCAGTTAATTTTTTGTGTTTAGGGTTTGCTCAAGAACCTAGAATGCTTAGTGTTTTCATTGAAAGATCCCTTAACAAAATTGATTGAATGAGTTAACTTGTATATATGGTACTAGTAGTTTGTATCAAACAAAATTGATTCATGGTTTCATGTAATTTTTCTGCAATTGTTTGATAAATTCTCTACTTTTCAGATCCCGCAAACTGAATCAGATATCTTAGGAATTGGGCTTGGGCTTAAGTGGTTAGCAGTTGATGTTAACAACGTTACATCTCAAGTTCGATTTCTACCCACTGAACCCAAAAAAAAAGAAAGTGGGATATGTTTGTCAAAATTAGTAATAAGAAGAATAGTGAACATGTTTCAAAAAATAAAGTAATACGAAGAGAAATAAATAGTGAAATATTAGGTTGCCTAGAAGCATTGGATGGTTTTTTTAGAGCTAAGAAGTTGTCAGTAGTTTGGTAGGTCATTTTTCATTTGGATACATCAGAAGTGTTCAACTTCAGAGTAATATTGCATTATTACTTACTGGAAAATAAAGTTGGATTGTCTTTTATTGGCATGCGAATATTCTGAATTCCTGCTATCATCCATTAGTAGAAGAAAAGCTTTTACTCATGTTTGCATTGTGCGAACTTTCTGTTCAAATACTTTATGTGAATATGTTCTAACTCATTTAAGGCATTATTAGTTGAAAACTTACAAACGCTTTTGTGAATCTGTTGTATTACTAGACAATTGACTAAATATTGCTCTAAATTTATGAGTCTTCTATGTTTGGTTGGGATCTAGAATACCTGATTTGGTTGTACAATATAATCTTAAACAGCATATAGTCTCACTTTATCATTATGTGTAAAATACGTCCTTTCTAATGAAGTTTGATTTCATCAGATGGGATTCTTTTGGGAGGCATTATAATCATGTATGAGTTGCATAGTTTTCTGCGGCCTATTCTACTTGCAATGTACTCCTTCTGGATCCCCCAAATAATCTTTAATGTCATTCGGGATACACGGAAACCTTTGCATCCTCACTACATCTTAGGAATGACCTTCACTCGGCTGGCTATTCCAATGTATGCCTTCGGTTGCCCAAGTAATTTTATGCGCATAGAGGTTGATAAGAATTGGTGTATGTGTTTGGGGCTCTTCATGGGATTTCAAGCTCTTGTTCTCCTTCTTCAGCATTATCTTGGATCTAGATGGTTCATTCCTCGTCAGGTTTGATCATTTTCTTGTTGTGAGATTTATTTATTTATTATTTTACCTATTTATTTTGTTTTATCATATCTGACATTCATAATATGTGCTTTGGTTAAATGCCATCCTTAGCTTGGAGGTGATGTTGTCATTGATTCCAACTTAGTTACATCTTTATTTGAGGTCTTATTATCAGTTGTGATCTTATCAATGGGAGTTGGTTTTGTGGGTTTTTAGGACCAAAGCATGTTTAAGAGCAACTAGGAGACTAAGATTGAGTGCATGAATAACGTCCAGAATTTTATGCTTGTGAAATGGGATGCATATTGTAGACATGTATTTCATCAAATTATTATAAAAAATTACTTCTATCTTTTTTATCAAAACCAAAAAAAGATGCATGTATCTCTCTCTCTCTGTGATGCCAGACAAAGGGGCTTTGCTCCTGCACGAGTGTAATATGTGAGGTGGGCATAGAAAAGAAAGGTTTTACGTATTTGGAATGCTAATTAGGTATTTTGCTTCCTACAAAGATTAAGACCAGAGGATTTTGACCTCATAAAAGGTTCCCTAGATAATGTAGAGTTCGATCTAAATGAAGTACAATTAGGGTTAAGGTTACGGGGAAGTGTTTGATTGGGTTAGCGCAAGGTTTGTGATAGGTTTTAGGGTCTTTGAAGGGGTTAAAGCTTAATAAAAGAATGATGAGATGGTTTAAAGCCCATGGTTAGGGTAGCTATAACGCTGGTTTACATGAGGTTTGGAGAGGTATAGCCAAAAGGGCGACTAATTTGGCTACGGGGTTATGGAAGGGTTTGAAAGGGTGACTAATTTGGCAGTGAGGAATCATGGTCGGGGGTATGCGACAAATGAGGGGAAAGAAAAAAGGGCTTGAGCATAGGTGGGGGGAACCTCCAATCCACAAGCTAGGATTTGGGGGAAAATATCCACATAAAGAAGAAGAGGATTGTAGGGAATATATCCACTTGGACGCTTGAAAGCATAGAAAACAACCTCCGAAAGACTAAGAAACTTAGATTTCTAATTTATCTAGAACTGAAATTTTACTTTCTAGAAACCTAATAACGTAAGGAAACTAAAATTAAAACTCAATTACAATAAGGATACAATCTCAAAAGAAAGAAACCTAACGCTCTTCACTGCTTCATTCCAAACCAGGCTGGATTCTACATGAATGAAACTAGGGAAAATTACAAAAACCCCCCAAGACTACACTTTCTATGTAACTTACCTCCAACCTAACTTTTCTCTCACTTTTTCCCCTAAAACAAACTTTCTATGCAAATAAACCCCCAAGGGAAAATGTTCATTTGTTTTAGACGGAAATGCCTTTCCCATACACAAATCAATTTGGCCAGATTTGACGTTTTCGGACCCCAGTAGCACATTGCCGGAGCGCACCATCACATTGCCGGACCAAAACTGAGTACTGCCGAACCGCCCTTTGCAACTGCCGGAGCTCAGTGACTCAGAAGTTCTACTGCCTGACTGCCCTTTGCAACTGCTGGAGCGCTGTGACTCTAGAACATGCACTGTCGGATCGCACTTACACAGTTTTGGAGCCCTGTTCCACTATTGGACCGCACTTACACAGTACCAGAGCGCTGTGACCCTTCATTGCCGGACCGCACTTACACAGTACTAGAGCGCTGTGACCCGTCATTGTCGGACTGCACTTACACATGCCGGAGCGCTTGATCCACTGTCGGACCGCGCTTACATAGTACTGGATCCCTATTTTGGTGGGATAGAGGAGAGAGGCGTGGGTAAGGGAGGGTAGTTTAGGCATTTATTTATTTATTTTTTGGTTGGGGGGGTATTTGCACAGAAAGTGTATTTTGGAGGAAAAAGTGAGAGAAAAAGTTAGGTTGGTGGTAAGTTGCATAGAAAGTGTAGTCTTGGGTTTTTTTTTTTTGTAATTTTCCCATGAAACTAATGCGTTTATGTACAGTCCTAGGTCAGGTTTGTGCATGTGTGGTGATATACACGTCTGAAAGTTCCTTTCTGATTTGTTTTATTGGACCATCTTTGAACTGTGTAAGTTTTGATTTTATATAGCAGTAATTGCTATATAAATCGCATTATTCTGTCCCTTGGTTTAACCAAGAGGCTTGGCTGTAGATAAATGGATAGCTTTAGTGCCTGAGAGAGATTTCCTAGGTGTTTCTCATAAGTATACCAGGACACTAAAACCAATGAACCATGCGAAGGTAAATAAAATGATAATTGAATGATAGCCATTATTTCATAAATCGTGTTTCCTTTTCCACTCAAATATTCTGAGTAATGTCAGCTTATAATGATGAATGATTAAGATTGAGTTTGCATAGTAAGTGAAGAATCCTGGTGCTGAAACCAGATATTATCCAAAGGAAAATTGTTTCATGCGGGCTGGACCGCATGACTTCATATGCGGTTCAAAAAGTGTAAAGCATCCATCTTGAAGATGGATGCAAGTAGGTGTTCCATCTAAAAACAATGGCAACTAACGGTCCAAATGTTTTCTTACTAGAATTATTATTTTTTGTTT